CAAGCCCCTCGCTCTAACCCCTTGCTGCCACCAGCCCCCGCATGAAACCCCCCTCGCATTTTGCTCAGCCTCTGACGTCGTGCAAAAATTGCAGCCGAACGAAACGAGGCCGAGTGCAATGAACAGCATTCAGCACACGAAAGAGAGGGGCATAGTCGAGCAGAAGCAGAGAGAGAGACGGCATGCAAATGCAGCTTCGAACAAGTTGCGACTGCTCGTTGGATGTTGCAATGCGAAACCTTCGAGAAATTTTACAAGAGTCGTTGAACTCTGCGGCTCGGTCGTTTAACTGTGGCCCAAAACCACGAAGCAGCAGCAGCAGTGGCAGCAGCAGCAACACCAAGAGCAACAGCAACTGCAACACCAGCTAACAGCAACAGCAACATAAATATTGCTGCAATATTGCTCTCGTACGCTCTCCGAGAGATTTGAGAGCTGGAAAACTAGTTTTTGGCGCCGAGGCATTGAAAAAAGCGAAAGTACATTTTTTATTTCGCCCGCTCCTCCCCGGGAAAAATACAGAAGAAAAAAAAAATACAAAACAAAAAAAAAAAAATAAATAAACTCGGCTCGTTCGCCAGACGACGAACGCTCTTCGTGGCGAGAGGTAAATGAACCTTTTGAAGGTTCAACTTGCGTAGTAGGCGACGCCAGCGTCTCGTGTAAAACAAGTTTGTTACGTTCATCGTCGTTGGCTGTGGCTGTGACTGTGGCTGTGCTGCCACTCTTTGGCTCTTGGCTTCTTTCTTTTCCACTGCTTTTGGCGCTCTTTTCTTTGCAATTTCACCGTTAACAATTTTTGTGACTGCCTTTTGTGAGGCAGGTGAAGGCAAGCCAGGCAGCAATTTTATGTAACCAAAGCGATGAAAAAAAAAATAAATAAAAATAAAAGAAGCGTCAGCAGGCGGCTAAAACTCAAGTTGTCAAACAGCTGCCATTGCTGGAGTATTTTTTTTCGCAGCTCTCTTTTTGCTGTCTTTTTTGTTTTTTTTTTTTTTGGTGATGGATGACACGCGTGAAATGATTTCACTTATGGACAGTAAGTAATTGTGTAAGCGTCAAAGGAGGAGAGTAATTGGGCTTAAAAGTGGCATACCAAAGAAAATACCAGAAATTAATACTGAATTGGTTTTGGTTTGTAAAACGAAAAATACTACAAAAGCCTTCCTAATAATACTTAATATACAACGTTGTATTATATTCATTTTGTTTTTGGTAATAATAATAAACTTAATAAAATATTTGAAAAACATTCGAGCTTAAACATGGAACTACTACTGCACTGGCCTCTGTGCAATCTTTTCGATTGCCTCACATAAACCTTCACCAGCTTTTTAGAACAGCCTCAGTGTATCAGACCCCACCGACTGACTGTAGAACCTCACCCACATCGTCATCATTAGCATTTTGTACTTGAAGCTGTGTGAGCTGTTCTAGCGCCGCCCACTCACGCGCCCACTTTCATGAGCTGATCCGAAGGCTCCTTGAACTGTTCCAAGTGTTCAACTCCTACCAAAGGCCCAACCCCGAAAGCCCCCCGGCCCCAAGCCCCTTGGCCACTATTCTCCTTGTCCGCCTTGTTCTCGTTGTTATTGTAAATTTCGTGTAGCCTCCAATATTATTTTAGTCAACAGCTTGCCATGAGTATCTGTGTGTAGCACTGGCATTTTAATGTATTTGTAATTGACCTGAATAAAGTTCAAAACACTCGCAGCGGCGAGGCAAGGCGAAATCTACATGCATGCTGTTGTTGCTGTTGCTACTGCTGTTGCTGTTGCTATTGCTGTTGCTGCTGTGTGTGTGTAGCCTCAAAATAATAATGATTGCGACAACAACAGCAGTAGTTGCTCGTTTCTATATATTTATGTCTTTTTATATATATGTATGTATATGTATATATATATAGAAAAAAATGCTGTGCCTTCGATAATTGACAATTGTTTGATTATTTTATGTGCTTTTGGGACACACCAGCAACTAATTGCTGCTGTGCATGTTGCTGGTAGGTGCGGTTATCTATTTGCCGAACACTTATTTGCTTAGCAACGATTTTGATTGGCAGATATACAAGAATTTTGGATAAGAAAGATATGGGGAACATAGATTTAATGGTTGGGGTTTTCTTTCAAGTTTTAATAGAATGTATTTCTTCTGTTGCTTAAAGTCGCAAACATCTCTAATATAAATCTAAAATGAAGATATGCAAAACTATTTCACCACCATATATACTATATGCAGAAACCCCCAATATTTGACTAATTTCCAAACATTTTAGCCGACCTCCACCCCTTCGCCTTCCCCCCTTTTTGCAGGCTTTATCTCGATTCTCGTATGCGCCTCGTTCGTGTTGCATATTTACTTTCAATTTGCCTAACCTCGCGCTAATTTAAGTTCATTTCAATTAAAAGCCAGCATGTGTGCATGTGCAAGTGCCAGCTAATAAAGAAAAGCGTTGCGCGACCACAAATAAATATGAAGAAAATAAGTATATAGCGAGAAAAATTCAACGATATATTGTTTCTAATTTTTCTTCATTTTTTTTTTGGTCAGCCAACGATGAACTAATAAATTTCCAAGCAAATCCGCAAAATCAAATGCAAAATGAGCTGCAAAATTAAGCGACGACGACGACGACGAGTGTTGTGCACATTGTTCGTTGTTTACTATCGGCGCTCACACAGATACGAAATTACGCACACAGGCACAACCACCTTCACTGCCGCGCTGCCGCTGCGCTGCCACTGCGCCGCTGCCGCGCTGTCAATGGTGACCCAGTTTTCCTGCACGTCAGCGGCGGTCAATAACCTGAGCTGAGTTGGGACGTATTTTATTTGACTTTTTCGAGGGGGGCGCTTGTGTGCGCTAAATTTCGGTTTCGTTTTCATTTCTTGCGTTATTTTCGTGTCTTTGCAATACCAAAAGAAGGAAAACCAAAAACTAAAAAAAAAAAAAAAAAAAACGAAAAGCATAAAAACACCAACAAAATGGCGCCTATTACTACTGGCAAAGAAATTATGAAAGCAGCCGAAATGTAACGAAACGAAATGAAAAAGAAAGTGTTTCGAAATGGCCGCCAATTATTTATTTATTTTTTTTTTCATTTTCAAAAAGTGAAAGTAGTCTCGTCTTCGTGATTTTTTATAAACAAAAAATAAATTATGATTTCGTAGCCGTTTTCTAGGTCAGTCGCTCTTGTTTTATAACTGTAAATTGTTCATCAGCGGCCCTCGTTGTTTTTTTTTCGGCGTGTGCGTTTTATATTAATTTTCCTTGAAAGATAAGGCAACCAAGCCGGCAGCGCAGTCGCCGTCGCTTAAATAGCACACGGTCATTTTTATTATAAACAATTCGAAATTTGTTGGTTTGCTTTTTTTTTACTCATTGTTTTTCTTTTTATTTATTTCGATTTCATTTCATTGCTGTTGCCGAGTTCGAGTTTGCTGTTTATTTGGTTGGCGGTCGAATTTTTGTTCGGTTCACATGACTTATTTTTGGCACTAGCTTGGTTTGCTCTAGGCACAGAACTAGTTCAAGGATTTGCTAAAAAATTATTGCGCTTGGCTCTAGGTTACTGGCTAATTAATGGTAGGATTTTAATGGTGACAGCAGAGAGACCTCATAAATGTTTGATGGTGGTAAACAAGCGCATAAAATAAGTAGTCAAATTAATTGGGGGTGACTATTAGAAAAAATGAGTTGAAAATATTTAAATAAATAACTGTATTTGTTTTATGTTGTGGAAACATATCCAAACCTTGCAAATATGATATGTAAATGGTTAGCAATGATAGTAAATGTGTGTCCCTTGAAATGTGTGCATTAAATTGCAACGTTTACTAATACTAAAAATTAGATTTAAGCTCTTGGTTCATAAAAGAAATCTCCTCTCCGTATTTTATATTTGCTTATACAATTGTAATATTTTTTTAAGCCTCCCTACATATATCTATTATAAAATATTTTGCTGCCATTTTTTTACTTTCCCATTGCAACACACGCGTGCTCCACATACGAACAAAAAATATCAAAATCTAATCCATCAATTACAACATCGAAGGCAGCAACAAATACTATTTTACACAAAGGCCGCGTCTGCGTGTTGCCTACAAAACAGCCTCTCCCCGTCTCTCTCCCCCTCGCTATCGCCACCTCTTTCTCTCTCTCTCACACACACACACACACATACATACACGCATGGACCACTTTCGTTTTCGTTTTCACTGCAAACAGCAAACATGGCCGCCCAGCGAAAAGTCAATGAACGTGGAAAAGAGAGTGCGAGAGAGTTTGTGTGTGTTGGTTGTGTGTGTGTGGTTTGTGTTTGTGTTTGTGTGTTGTGCTTTCATAATCGCTGGCTATTTCCTGTAAATATTTTCCGGGCTGTGAGCTTAATTTAAACAAATTATTACAAAACTCAATAATAACAAATGCAGTCAGCGTAACGAAGAGAGAGAGACGGGAAGAGAGTGCACAGAGAGAAAGAGAGAGAGAGAGAGAGACAGGGAGATGGCCTCGCTCTGCTGTCTCCATTATGGATTTGGGTTAAGTGCGTTCATTCAACTTTTAACACCATTTCGAAATGGCGCACACTTCTCGCCGACAGCCTGCTCTCAATTTATCATGCGGGTGTGCTTTTTTTTTTTTTTTGTTCGGGGAATTTGTTTAAACAAAATAGACAACTTTTACTTTGCCGTGAAATCGCGCCAAGCGAAATGTTGCAATACAGTCAAACACACACACACAGGCACACAAACACACACAAACACTGAGAGCTAAAATTTCGTTCACGGCTGGTCAATGAACTCTACTCTAAAAACCCGAAGAAACTTCGTGTGGCGCCCGAATCGCCTCGTCTTCATGTTGCTGCTGTGCTCGGTGTTGCTGCTGCTAGCATTAGTTTGAGCTTGATTTAATTTCGTCTGTTCTTTCGGTTTCAATTTCCCTCCCTTGTTTGATATTTGCATATTATTTCATAGTACAAAAAGACTCAAGGTACTCACCATCGCGACTCATGCCCACGGCAATGCACTTTTTCAGGCGGCAATATTGACAGCGATTGCGATTGATGCGCAGAATGCTGCACTGTTGATTTTTGGTGCAGGGGCGATACTGGATCTTTTGCTGGATGGAGCGACGGAAGAAGCCCTGTAATGAAAATGAAAAAAACAACACACATTAGCAAATGATAATCAGTTATATTTTAAACATTAATTATTAATAAAGAAGTTTTTAAAGTGGCCTGAAATCGCTAAATAAGTTAACACCTTGCATATTAAACCTACATCGGCATCTTCGTTTGCTGCTGTTGCTGGCGTATTTCTCCCCGTATTGGCATTGCTGTTGCTCAGCGCCGTGTCCAGATTCTCATCGAACTTCTGGCACAGGTAGTTCAACTGCGAGGAGTCCAATCGCTGGTGGTGCTGCTCGCACAGCTCATCATCGCAGCCCGAATCCTGGGCCTCGTCCATCTCCTCCAGCTGCTGCTCATCGCTGCCATTGCAGGTGCAACAATTGCCCGCACTGGAGTTGCTCGAGTTGCTCATCAGCGAGCAGTTGCTGTCGGAGCTGTCCCTTCGTTGTTGTTGCTGCTGCTGCTGTTGCTGTTGCTGCTGGTGTTGCTGTTGCTGCTGATGTTGCTGCACCTGGTGTTGCTGCTGTTGCTGGGTTTGTTGACGCAGGAGATTGGCGATTTCCTTGTGGGTCTGCGCCGAAAAGGGACTATCACAGTGCAGCTGCTTAATGTTGCTGGTGGGTAATGCAGCAGCTGGTTTCGCCTCGAGCTCCTGCTGGTGTTGCGTGTTGCTGCCGCTGGTGGTCTGCTGCTGCTCCAATTCCCGCTGCTTAAGCTCACGCGCATAGCGAATCTTCTTCCAGGGACACTGATATTGCTCGTAGCTGCTGTCCTCGAGCGATGTTGCTGCGGGGTTGGCACTCGGGCAATCCTCATCGCTATTGGGGCAGTCCTCATCGATGCCCGACTCGCTATCATTTTTGGCGCACAGATCGGCGGCACATGGCTTTGGTGTTGCTGCTGGGGCTGCTACTGTTGCAGGCTGCTGCTGCTGATGCTGCAGCAGCAACACAATCTGCTGCTGCTGCTGACTAATACTATTTGTTGTCTGGGTGTTGTTGTTGCTGTTGGTGGTTGTCTTCACTAGTGTTGCAGGTGTTTGTTGTTGCTGTTGTACGATTGCTGCTTCGTTTTTCAGTCTTTTGCGTTGCGGTTGCTGTGGCTGCTGTTGTTGCTGCTGCTGTTGCAGGTAAACAATTTGTTTGGGCGTTTGCTGTTGCTTGTTGATTGGCGCCGATTCCAGCAACTTAACCAAAGCCGAATGTTGCTGCTTCAGATGTTGGCTCTTGGCCTGCTGTTGGTGTTGCTGCTGGTGCTGATGCTGATGGTGCTGCTGCTGCAGCGGCTGATGTTGCTGCGGTGCCGCGACAATGTGCAGATTACCGCCGCCATTACCCGTCAACAGCACTATCGTTGTGCCATGTTGCTGCTGTGTCTGCTGCTGCTGCTGCTGGGGCAACTGGAGTTGCTGTTGCTGCTGCACGGCAGCCACCTCTTGCATTGCACACACCATATTTGAATTAGAGATTTTTTGCTTTTTGGCTTCAGAATGACACTTGAACTCTCGATTGTTGGTTGCTCTACGATTTGCTAATAAGGAACATTGCACACTTCACTTTGATCTCACTTCACTGGCACCAACAAAAATATTTGATATTATTTGCTATTGAAAATTTGTTGCTGTTGGCTCTGCTCTCTATCTCTTTCGCTTGATCCAGCTTTATTATATATTGTGATTTTTCGCGCGCTTTTCTTGCTCTGCACAACCGCTGCCGTCGACGAGCAATTTGCGAATGAAAGCAGCGTCCACCAGCAACACAAAACGACCCAGAGCAACACAAAACTGCCAGCCGAAGTGGCTTTTTTGTGCCTCGTGTCGCTTCGGGCCACTCTCTCGTTCTCCCTTCCTCTTTCGCCCCGTCCCGCTTCCACTGATGTTGCTGCTGTCGTTTTGTGTTTTTGTTTTTGTGTGCCAACTGAGGACATTCACTCCAAGCGTCGACAGCGACGCCAGCGTCTAACAATAGATGTTGCTGCGGGGACTGTGTCTCTGGTGTTGCTGATGGGTATTGCTGTTGCTATTGCTGTTGGTGTTGCTGCTGTTGGTGTTGCTGCTGTTGCTGTTGCTGCTGCTGCAGTGGGGGCGCCTGGTAAACAATTCTTGGAACACCCACGCGACACTCTGATTTCACAGGTAGCTCAGGTATCTCAGGTAGTTGCTGCCACTGCCACCTGACTGATCAGCTTTGTTTGATAACAAAACAGAGGCGGTGCTGTTCGATTGTTCCCCATAGATTCTGAGCGTGTGTATTTGTGTTTGCTCATGTTTTGATAAATGAGTGACAAATAAGATTAATTGATATGGGGGCTGGCTGGCTGGCTGAGCCATCAATGCGAGTATGACAGGCCTAAGAGGATCTGAGATCTGGAACGATGTTCCCGAACGCTTTTTGGGGTCAGCTAGAGCACGGGGATGGGGGGTGTGTGTTTCCAGAAAAATTAGGAATGATTAAGAAAATGTTGTACGATAGCTGGCAAATGGTTTATACTAAAGGTGTAGTTTCAAATAGGAAAAATTTAAAAGAAAGGAATAGTTGAATATTATATAAGATTGTCGGGTCCATTTTAATTGATTTAAACAAATTATATTGGCATACTAAATTATGTTATACAAATTTGAAGAAATTCTGGTATGACATTAATTCAATTCCTTTACTTTTTTCTCTAAACATTTACCTAAGCAACTGTTTTTTTTTTCGTCAGCTTTTTTATTACTCTTCAAATATGACCCACATTGGCTGACAATCCCCGCCTAATTAACAAAATGCAAATATATTTGCTTTGGCAAATATTTTTGACGCATTGGAAATTTGTCAATTGCTGGAGGTTCGATGAACTCCACTTCCCCAAAACCAGATGATTTAATAAATGTATTAAATAATATTTTGTGCGCATTGTGATTTTTTGGGGCCAAATAATGCACACAAGTTGTGAGTGTTGTGCCTCTCGCTCGTACTTTGCTATATGACCCCTTCTTGCTCACACACAAGCTACGTAACCGAAAAGCCCCAAAACGTTAACGACGTCAGCAGAGACAGAGGCAGCGGCTGCGGCAGAGGCGGCGGCAGCGGCGGTGGTTCAGTTCAACGAACCCCGCCATTGTCGTGACCCACATTTCGGTCAGCCACCTTCGAATGTGGAGCTGCGAAAGAGAGGGCTATATGCGCTCAAAAAGAGACGGGGCTAGAGAGCCGAATGCCCGAATGGCCGAAGCCAAACGAACTCGAGCCGAACTGCAAAAAGAGAGCGATGGAGCGCTGCTCTCAATGCATTTTGCATGCAAATTCGCTTGCATTTCAGTCACATACATATTGTACGTATATATATATGTATATATATGCGATTTTTGAGCTCTGGCGGTCGGTCAACGACACAGAAACCTCAGGTGGGCTTGGCTTTAAGCAAGGGGAGGAGGGGGTGGGCTGGAGTATCTATACATATAACTGTCGAAATGCGTTCAAGGAAATCTTTGGCAATTAAAAATTTGCACACATTTTTTGCGAGTTTTTAACCAAGCCTGCAATCTAAGCTGCAAAATCTGGGGTCATTGCACTGAGTTGGGGGTGCTGAGAGATTTGCACTCATTTTTCGAACAAGGCTTTCGGGAACTTTCGGGAACAGCTGTGCCATTTCCCCTCTCTTTCTCTTGCCACCCCAACTCCCTCTCGTTCTCTCTCCGCGGCTTGGCCAAATGTGAATGAACTCTGCTCGCAAAGCGAATAACAAGTTTCAAAAGAAAGTGAGAGCACTTCCACGCACACGAACAAGCACTCACACATTCAGCCTGCTCTCTCTCCCCCAGTATCTCTCTCTCTTTCTTCCTCTTCCCTCCTCTCGCCCTCTTTTTTTCACCTCCCTCTTTTATTTTGATCCGCAACGTCATTTTATAATTCACTCTTTGTTTGTTTGTTAAATAATATCTTTTCTGGCTCTGCTTTGGTACAATTTTTTTCTTTTTGTAATTTGTTGTTAATTTTGTTTTTAATTTTTTTTTTGTGTGGGGTTGAGTTCTTTTTATGAATGATTCTATGCCGCGGGGGGTTTTTTGTGTTTTTGTTTATTTTTCTGCCTGTATTTTTTGCTGAAACCGCCTACCTGTTGGCACGATCGCTACCTCAAAAAGTGCTTGACCAAGATTTCTGTACTGTGTCGGTTCTTTTATATTCTTTGTTTTGCTTGAGGTATATTTTTTTTCGGGAGGGTGCTACCGTCGGAACTTGACATCAATTCGATCGATCGATCGATCGCCCCAAAAGAGCTGTTGAGCAGGTCCAAATATCGCCGGGAACTTGATGGATACCAAAGGGAAATGGAGGAAAATGGAAAGAAATCGTGGCTGGATGGGTGTCGAAATTAGCTCAAGAATTTTAAATTTGAAGTGGTCTTAAAGTGAATTAAGTCATTTGAAATTCACTCTAAAATATAATAATCCAATAGATTGCGGTTATTTTAATTTCTTTCGTTTTAAATTATGGCTCTACTCCACACTGATCTCAACAGAAATATAATTTTAAATATTCCAAACATAAACAAGGCGTTTGAAACATTTGAAAACTTTCCGACCGATCAACACTTCCCCTTGTTCTTTCTCCCCCTTTTCCGGTGATCAATTCTGCGTCAACCGCCCACACATATTAAGAACCAACACTCTCCGTCACATAAACAGACAATACCTAATCTCCTGTCATAACGACGATCGTTTGTTGGGCTTTCAGAACTCCCTCACCCGCTTTTCTCCCTGCCCGTGTCTTCCGCCCCTTTCTTCCGCCCCTTCTATGCTCTCTTCCCTTTTGGGGGCCCATTCGATGCGTCAGCAATTAGCACGTGCCTGAGTTTTGAGACTCAGGCTGGGACTTCAAATCCGATCCGGAACTTTATGGCGCTTTACAGTTCATTCAACGCTCGTTCGTCAAGCTCGTCTTGAAGTTTATTCGACAGTTGCTCATAATTCAAAGAAAGCAATACAGTCGAATTTCGTTGGTTCAAACGATTTTACGATTCGAAAAAGTAGTCA